AGTAAAAAGTTGCAGAAATGCGAGAAGTGCCAGCCTCGTTGTACTCTACGACAGCGCCAACTTTTCAGCGAAGGTGAGGCGTCTCATATTCAAAATGTTTCGTTCCTGACGCGATTATTATGTTTGGACCTTGTCACATCTGATCAATATTTATTTGAAGCCTAGCGTCGAATTTCAAAGAGTACGTTCTTTAATGAATTGCAATAACTACAACAGTTGCAATATCTGTATGGAAAGGCCATTTTTTTACATTCAAAATGCAATTTTGTGTCAGTGAGATAACAAATAACACGGTTTTTCACGCATGAGGTCACTGACATTGCTGATTATTGTGTCAGAAATTTTGAGGCAATCAATCTCGAGCCATCATATTTTAAACAGACAAGTTCCTACCTCTCACGATCAGGCAGAGCAAGATCGTAAGTAGAAATCTAATGGTAAGGGATTTCCCAAGGTGCGGCGATCCCAGGGCTTCCTGTGGTTCATCTGAAAAACTTCACCGTTTAGGCTGTGAAAAAGACCTCAAAATCGCCCAACCTAGTTTCTAAGAACAGACGTAATTAAGGAAAACCTGCGAGAGTCCCGCTCCCTGAACGCTTGATGGGTTGAAGAGCGCTTTTCGGCAAGCCTCCTACTGATTTTTATCGATAAAAGCCATGGAAATCAATGTGAAGGTCTATCAAGAAGGGAGCCCTCTGGGAAACTGTGGTGCCATGGAAGCAAAATCGTAACAACTTTTATCTTTCTCAAGAACTGGTATCCAGCTCATGGACAATATAAAGATCCATGTCTTCGAGACTATGATGTGCTCTCCTTTGACGGTTTTGTAGCCTGCTAATAGCCTGAAAATGAATCCTTAGGACTTTGCTGTTGTGGCCTTATTGATGAAGAGCTATTAATAAATCGAAGTGCAAAAAGGTGGTGAGTTTGGCAACTGTTCAAATTTTAGAATAAATTAGGCGCTGATGACCTCTGCCACACCACCATGCTGACGAGAGAGTTTAGGCTTGTATCAACACTGATGGCGCTTTCTCGAAGTTTCTTTGCAATTCTAGAATTTGTTGGTGAATTATTTCGAGTAATTAATTTGTTTCAAATTTTTGTGGACAAAAAATAATATTTGGTCACTTCTTATGGCGCGCGCAGTTTGTCGCCACCTTGTAGATTACGTTGAAAGTGTTTTTATGGTTGATTGGCTGAGTATGGATCTAGGAAAATAGAG